CAGCTCGCCGTGTACAACCCCGCGGCGCTGCGCCGCCCGGGCCTCGCCAAATTCGTGCTGGGCTCCTTCGACGACAACTCCTCCGATGATGAGCTGATGGCCACGGCCTTCAGGGTGGGCCGGCGGCGCAGCAGCCTGGCCGCGGTGGGGGGTACCGTCCCCGAGCCCCCCACCGTGAGCGCCCCTCTGGAGCCCAGCGCCGGCATCAGGTAGGGATGGCAACCTCCGATGGCCGGAGCGCGGCCAGGCAGGGATGTCCCGGTTAGAGAGGGCGGGTGCTTGTGGTGGGTGCATTGCTGTTGGTAAAATTGGGGTGCACACGTGCTGGTGCTCCTCGGAACCCTCAGGTGATGCCCCCAGTCCTGCTCCCTTTGTTGGGGGGAGAGCCAGTGTCCTTGGATGTGTGACAGCAGTGCCACCTGCACCAGTGTGGCAAGGACCAGGGCAGGGGGTGTCCCCGCAAAATCTCTAGTTTGGATGTGGGGCAGCTCACTCCCTGCTGGCTGCAGCTGGCAGCTCCCATGGAAGCGCAGCTGACATCCAGAAGAAATAACTGGAAACCAAATGCTGCTGTCTGCCTCCTCCGGCTGCTCTGCTCCAGCTAAAAATAACAAACCTTTGGCTGCAGAGACGTGTTGTGACACTCGACAGCCCGACAGTGGGTTTGAGGTGGTGCTGCCAGCAGTATCCATACTGCTCTTCTGTCCTTCCACAAATAAGGAATTTCCTTATGTCCTGCCTGAGTTGCATTGTAGATGTGGTTGATGACCTTTGCAGGACAGGCTTTGCAGGGGGCTGAGGGAGGGCTCACTGGAGTGGCCCTGGTCTCTCTGTGGTGGCCCTGGCCTCAGTGACAGCCACAGTATCCCACCACAGGCCCAGCATGTCAGGGCTCAACCTGGCAAAGAGGAGCCACAGGAAGATGGACCTGCAGCGGGATTTTTCCGTTGCCTCCCCAGCCGAGTTTGTCACCCGCTTTGGGGGCAACCGTGTCATCGAGAAGGTCTGTCCCCACGTGTCCCTGCTTGTGCCTGCATAGGGGGTCACTGCTTTCAGCTGGGACATCTTAGAGCACTGCCCAAATGTCCTGTGTCCTCTGGGCTTGGAGCAATGGCAGCCCAGAGCTGTTCATTCCATGGCTTCATCACTCTTATGGGCTGGGAGAGGGAACCCCATGCAGCAGCTCTGCACAAACGATGGCCAAAGTCCCATCCTTGGTTATCCCCAGTGCCAGACCTCAGAGATGTTGAAGAGTCCCATGCTTTGCTGGGATGTACATCCAGCTGTCAGAAAGCTCCTGATGAACACATTCCCTCTGCTCTGCTCCACACCCATCCCTTGCCCCTGCGCTGCCATCCCTTGGGGTAGCAAGGGCAGGGTTCACCCTGCCACCTCCTGTCCCTGTCCCCCAGGTCCTCATCGCCAACAAC